TATTTTCCATGAAGTTGCAGCTCTTGCCGGGTGAGGGTTTTATTCTGTGATTTCAGGAGTCTCCTCTCCTGATTTGAAAAATTATTTTATTTATTTACTTTTCTTTGAGTTACAAACACTTAGCAGATTTGAGGGGACTTCGGGTTTCATCCTGGCAGCTGTCTGGGTGTTCTCCATCTTCTGGTTAGAACCCTTAACACTGCCAACCAACTTGGTCGGGCTGGTTAACTTTGTACTTAAAAGACAAGCTAGATGAAAGTGGCATGCCGCTTAAGCTGAATTTGTCGCGTTTTGACGTTTTCTTGATTAGAACAAACGTATTCTACGAGAGTGCCTTGTATGAAGCCCATGCTCCGAGAGGGACACAAGGATAACAAATCCTGTGTGTGCCCCCAGGAAATTTCCTTACAATCTAAATTTTGGGCTTAGGGTTCTTATTTCTTAGTGCTTGGAAGTATGAGGTGCAGCTTCAGTCCTAAGAGAGTTAAGGAAGATTTGCCTTGGACATCAGTGCCATTCCTCGGGATGGAAACCACCCTTAGAGAGAGAGACCCACCAGTAGGAGTTGTCCTCCAAAGGGGGTGGAATTCAAACAATCTACCATAACCGTTCTTCCTTCCTTACCCTTCCTGCATTTCCAGATTACTTTTCCATTTCATTTTAAATGGGGGGTGGAGGAAGAGGAGAGGGGAAGCCACCAGGAAATCAGTGTGCACTGGCCCTTTAAAACGCTGCCTAATGTGATCTATATGGATGGCAGCTTTTAAGTTTCATAGGTTCTAGAATTACAAATTAGCTAATTTTAATCAAAACATGTGAAATGTTATCCCGGCTGGATATAAAGGCTGACTGTGCTCGATGCTTGGGGCTCGCGTTGTTGACTTTGGCTGCGGGCACACTCCGTGGTTTGGGAGATAGTTGTCCTTCTACAGTATAACAGATGTTTGTCTGAACTGGTGAGGAAGAAACAAAAACAACATTGTGTGAAGGGAAAAATTACACAATTTTTAGCCAGTGCTGCAGGACTAAGTATGGAATTAACCTTCTTGCACAGAATTTCCTCTTTGAAAATGTTATTTTTCTTCTAAATCACCACCTAGTATTTGAAGTTGTAATCCTTATCGTTTCAATCCATAGTAGCATTACATGAGAAGTTTTAGCCAGCAAATAGTTCAATTGCCTGTAGCATGATATTTTCTCTCTGGTTTGGAACAACATATCAGAGACCCCTGGCCGAAATCTTCAGTCATGTCAAAGCACACCGTGCCAGTGAGTCACGAAATCCCATTTCTAGTGGAGTTGTTGAGGAGGCATTCCTCTCATATAATAGCGCTGAAAGTCCTCATTTTAAAAGTGATTTTTCAAAGACAAAAGGTGAAAGTGTTATTTTGAAATCATTTAAAATGTTTCTGCTTTTAATATTAATAACCACATCAATAAAACCCATCCCCAAACCTCATGGTATTATTACCCCTCCATCTAAAGTGTAGGGTAACATAACAAGTTGGTTGCCCTGTATAAAAATATGTGCAACAAAATGTCACCGAGAATACAATGTGGCCTTGTGCAGCTTCATATCGGTG